GTTGAGGGGGACACGACAAACTTTCTGGTGAACAAGGCCCCAACGGCCTGATCGTCACGAGTGCCTATGGGGAGGCTAGTTTCTGGGGGGACAAGGGACGGGTGACTAGCTGTATACTCTTCGGACTGGGCGGCCTTGCAAGGGGAAGCAAGACTGCCCTGACGGCATTTGAAGAGCTATCAAGCATTTGCTCCGCAGTCCAGTGATGGCAGATTGTTGTCGGTCAGAGGTTCATGGCATATTCAAAAGCAATTTGAGCGACAGTCAAGTGAAGCTCAGATTGCCACAGCCGAAACGAAGGGATCTGTGAGTGACAACTACAAACAAGGGCAGAAGTTCACAAGCCACTGGCATACAGTAAGATGAGGCAGCCTCATCTATCCTAGGGGAAGTGGGCGTACCTCACAGAGGGCTTGCAATGATTGTCCCTGCCAAGACCCAAGCTTGTCCTACATTTCCGAAGTCGACACCTGTGACTTGGAGATGCGATCCAATTCCGGCATTCCACAGCCCATGGTCATAAACGATGCCTGCCCAAAGTGGGGGGTGACTTCCAGGCTTCCAGGGCTATGGGCCGCTGACAGCCACGCTTCTGGAAGAAGCCCGCCAGCAGCGCCAGCAGAGACGCCAGCTCCGTGCGGTCCTTGATGTCCTCACGCTCTCAACCGAGGATCTACTTAGGGTTCCTCTGACGAGCTGGGTTCGGCTTGATCCGAGGTTCGCCTCACCCCCCTTCCCCTGATGTCCTGGACGGCTTCCCTTTGATTTCAGCTTAAAACAAGCCCAAGCGGTTCTATTTGGTTTCACCTTAACTTCAAGCGTAGGGTAGAAAGCAAAGGAGTCCCCCCCCCATACCCCCCCAACACCCATCCCCCCATACCCCCCCAAACCCCCTCCCCCCCGCTCCCCATCCCCCACCCCAACCCCCCCCCCCCTTCACGTCTCTCCGGGAAGGGCTGCAGCACGTTGGCCAAAATCATGGCCGCCATCGCCCCCGAGGACACCGAGCCGTGCCGGGAGGTGCCCAGCAGCGCGTAGAGCAGGGGAGGCAGCAGGGCGCAGTAGGGGCCCTGGGAATCTGGGAGGAGTCAGGCTGGGTTTCAGGGCGCTTTTCTGTGGGTTGGTTTAAAGGGAAACTGAAGGGAAAACCCAAGATTGGGGGTGAATATCTTAATGGGGGAGGGCATTTTTCTGGACATCAAGTAGGGATTCAAGTCCAGCAACCACTGGTGAGGTGATTCGCTCTCCACATTCAGAGGCTGTCAGCGGCGCCTCTCTTTTTCCGGCGGCTTGAGCATCACCGCCAACTTAAAGTGAGCTTCCTTCTTGGTGGGCGGGAACCCACCAGCTTCCCAAAGTGGAATCAATTCGGGGGCAAAACCACACCCATGAAGCCCTCTAGGGGTTTCCAGTTTTCCTTGCTCTTGATGATGTAAAAGGTAACGATGAGTTTCAATTGTTGTAATATCGAGTCAATGCTGCCGAAACCTGACAATGTGCGTTTGCTCTAGAATTGGGTCTCATGAGTCAGGACTATGGAACCTGACGGTGCAGCAATCAAGGTTAAAAACAAATAACGTTATCTGACACTAAACCACGCCCAAAGAAACACATACTGAGCTTCTCGTTCGAAGTGTCATTCTCACTCAGCTGGTTTGTATGGCTCCCAGTCAAGTAGATGGCGTCCTTTGGCTTGCCCATGCTTACCCTTCAAGCTTGCATCTGAGCAGAGAGCGTGGGATAGCCCTAGAAGCGTTCAAGTGGAGACGACCACAATTTGGCTCTTGCGGTCAATGGTGGGAAACTTCAGTGTTCGATGCTACTGGCGAGCAAGCAACCTAGCTCGTTGGACCTCAACCCCTTGCAAAAGACTTAAGCCAGCCAAACGGGATGTGCTGCAAATTGAACATGATGGAACATGATGGAACATGATGGAACATGATGGAACATGATGGAACTGCGATGCTCCGGAATGTTGGAAACATGAGCCAAGGCACGAAGCTCTAGGCAAACATGGCTGCCAAAATCCTTCCCCTCAGCTTGGCACCAAAAAGTGACGTTGAAACCAGTGGCCTCTGCCCCTGGCCTGGCTCGCCATACAAAAGGTGTTACGAGAGAAGCGAAATGATAGTATAGCCTTGTACCCATCTGAGCCGCAAAAATCGGTCACAAAGGTCAAACCCAGGTACCTGAAATGGTGGACATCAGCATTCGGTGGGAATTTATATCCCACCAACCAGTTTTTGAAGTAGTTCCCAATCAAAGTTTATCCCGCTTCCTGAGTGGATTGGCCAAACAAATCCAGACTTTCTGCAGTATTTACCACTAAAAGGGGCCAAACCCAAAAAGTGAAGACAACTAAACGAAACAAACTCAGGAAGTGAGAGTGAGAGTTCGTAGCCACCTGTTCGACACTCCGGGATTTCAGGGCTTGAATTTCGCGTCCTGGATCGGCTCGGTCGTAGCGATGGTGGCATGGGCCAGCGTCTGTGCCAAGCACATGGTACCTCCGAAGGCTTGGCCCCACCAGCCCCGGAAGCCTCCACCGCAATCTGCCCCAAACCAAGCGCCGATCTGGAAAGACTGCATAGCTTTCAAGCTTTTGGGCATGTGCGACGCAGGCAGGGCGTTTTCCACAGAAGCTATTTAGGCAACCGTTTAGATGAAGATTCATCGTGGTTTTTTGCGCGCTGCTTTCACTGATTTTCGGACCTTTTTTGGTTGGTAGGCAGGGAAGCCAGAACAAACAGCCAAACTCCAAACCAATTGAGGAAAGCATGGGCGCGCCCCCCACATTTGGCGCGTTTCCATGTTGAACAGGGGTGGACAACAAACCAACCTCAGGAGAAGGAAGGCACCGCCCCAAGGTTCTCGGCTGCAAAGGCAGCCTGGGACAATTTCTTGCGGACCTCATTCGTTTGCCGCCGCAAAGCGGCCATGGCGATGATAAGAAGGTGGAGCTAGCTGTTTGGGTTCCAAAGTGTTCACGGGAATAAGTCGGTCTGGATACCCAGGGTGATGCCCGCGGTGACGTCGGTCAGGAAGTACTTCATCCTGAGAGCTAGGAAGGCAGAACACACCTCTGGGTTAAACCTGCTTGCCGAAAAATACCCTTTGCTTGGCTTAGAAGACCCTGCTGTTCCTTACCTTAGCGTAGGACTTGTTACCACTGACATGGAAACCAGCTGGAATGGAACCTGGCAATAAACGTGCTCCAAATGGCTTCTAGTTTACTAATTTTGGTGAGTCCAGCAAAGTCATATTCCTCAAATTTTCACCGAACTGGTGGGTGTGGCTCAAAAATAGGGGTCCAACATGTTGTCTTAAGATAGGTAACAAGCACATAAACAAACAACCTACCTGCAAGCACGTCTTGGAAAGCGGGCCATTTGTACTTGACTCATTGCCGGCTCAAATCTCTCCAAACCCCTCAGCTCTTTCGCTAGCCCAAGGGCTCGTAGGCTGGAAGCCAGGACAGCGGAGGCACGCGCCTTTGCAGCAAAGCCTCAGGGCCCAGGGCCCAGGGCAAGCCATGGGCTGGCTGGGTGTGAAAGGAGAACCCACTAGCTGGAAACATCACTCTGAGGGTCACCCTGAGAGAATTGTCGCTGCGGTAAGGAGTTGGTTTTGTCCAGCCTGCATCGGTACCTATGTTTATGAATGTCCCTCCAATTATGCTCGTTGTAATCCATGAGGTGTGCGAGACTGTGCAAATTCTCTGTGCATATTTGTAAAAAACACGTGCCGAGCCATCGAACAACTTGACAGGCAAGGATAACAAAGCAGGCAGCAACACTAGGCAAAACAAAAAGGGTGTTCTAAATCAACAATGTCCACCCAAAACCTCGATTTATGGGGAATTCCTTCTTTGCGGAGGCTATGAATTAGAGGTCATTTCCCTACAGAAAACGCCAACAAGAAACAAGGCCAGTTTCTCAACAGAACCATGGTTGAAAAGAACGGACATCGATCAACCATGTTTTTGGTTGGTTAGCCTGGAAGACTACTCTCCTTTTCGTCCTTTTAAGGCGCCCCCTCGTTCCACGTTAGTGAACAAGAGGGTAAAGGTTTCAGGTCCAGTCAAGTTTCATGGCTAAGTCCCGTTTTTGAGTTAGACCCGCTGGAAATCCGGTTGAGCCGAGCGATTTCGAACCCGCGCTGGGTAGCTTTCCAGGTGGAGGTCCCGTGCGTGTCCGGCGCCGCTCCCCCGAAGTTGTCGCGGAGCGGCACGTACGGCATGTCTGTGGCTGCCACCATGGCGACAAAACTCCCGGCGGCCACTGAAGAGACTTGTGGGGTAAACAGAAGCTTCCTTTGCGGAATTTCGCGTAATGTTGGGCCAGTTAAAGCGCAGGAGCGGCATACCTTCCATTTACGCACGGTGTCATCACAGTGGTACGATCATTCCCCAAAGCCCCGCTCGGAAAATCTGTGTAAGTCAATCCTTTAAGCAAATGGCCAGAAGGTAGCCGGCGCAAGCCCTGATCGAAGCTGCCCTCCAGCGAAAGGCAAGAAGCCCTCCAGGGCTTCTGAGGCTGAGCCCAGACGGCACGGATCGGATAGCGCATGCCGACTGGCATTACACCCTGGGATTACACCCTTAAGAAATGGCCCGAAGTGGGCCAAAATAACATGACTCTATCCCGGACATGTGCCTAAATGGGGTCATTTCCCAGTCGTGTACTCCCAGGGCGTAACACAAAGACCCTTAGACACTTGCACACAGGTCTGCACCATGGCAATACGCAGCTCCCCAAGCCGCGTGTTTCCCCACCTGTCCCAAAACATCATGCGTCACCTTGCCCTCCATGGTTTGGATTGGTACTGTGGGAGTTGACCACACCTAACCACGAACAAGCAACCACCAATTGCCCTCTTATGCCCTCTTTACACGGTTGGAAGTGGACAAGGAGGTCCCAAAGGACACTAGTCTTCCCACACCTTGGCGTTGGCTTCCGCGAGTCGAGCTTTCGCACCCGACCAAAGGCGTGCCGAGCTTCGCTTCTGGTCCAACATCTTCATCACCCCTTGCAGGGTCGCTGCGGCATCTGTAGCGATCTTTCCGGCCTGCGCCACCACCTGTGCGAACGCAGGAGCGCCAAACCAAAAACCGTGACCCTGAGAAAGCAGCCGAGAGGCTGGGAATCATAGGTGTCCTTTTGGGAAAATAGATGGCCCTGGTATATGGAATGAAACCAACCTAAACCAGTGCCATCTATTTCGAACCAACATAACCTAAAAAGGACGCCTATGCTGGGAATATTTTGTGGGGACGCCACTGAACTTGGACAAGGCCTGCTTAGCATGGACACCAGATTCGCATTTGGATGTCTGCGCTTGCCGAGGTACGTGTCTTTCCAGGGTGTCAGTTGGAAGGCAGCTCCTGTAAGTTTCACCAACTGCGCTGCGGCCCTTATTGGGAACCCTTGCCTAACAACGCATTTCCATCATACAAACCTGCATAAGATTGTACATTTATGGAACGAGGTGCGAATAATAAGATTGTGCATAACGTATAACAACTAATACAGCCAACTTACCTTATAATAAAAACAGAATGAACAAGTAGCTAGTGATAGTATTACACACGCAAGGAAGGGGTTGAGGCCCACTCAATCTTCCAGGGCAACTGGACCGAATAGCTTGTATCATGCATCAGGACGCCTGCTGCTTGCGAACTCCAACACATTGCCTTGAGCCAGATTCTCAGTTGACAAAAAAAAACAAAGAACCCAGAATAGAAGGTCTCACCTTTTGGAGCCTTGACCTATTTGTTTTTTCCCGGTCAGATCCGGGTCGGTTCGCTTTCGGCAAGTCAACATTGCCTCGTCGGCGGTACCATGCTGATGAAAGGCTGCACAACATGGCACCTGATTTGAGTCACAAAAGTGGCTCTATCTGACATGTTTGGCTGTCCGCAGGTCCCTGGATTTAAAACCAAAAAACAACTATTTCCAGTGGGGTAAATGGAAGAAACGTCCACTAAACCCTAAAAGAACCCAAAAACCCAGGAGACGGCTGGGACCCGCCTTCTTAAGAACAAGCCTCCATATCACTAAGCGCTCAAAACATCTCGCCCAAGCTCAGGAAAACTCAATGTGACCATGGGTGTATTGATGATTGAACCACCAGGTAAACCAGGGCCCTCTATTTTTTAAACAAACCAACCAAAAAGGACGCTTATGAATGTGACCCTCTCGGCTCTTCTTGCTTTGGTTCAATGAGTGCAAGGGAAGCTTCTTTTGTCCCATGTTCCATCTGGCCTCCGGCGGCGGGAGCACCTGCTTGGTCGCAGCTTTCTGGGGCTCCTTGTCCTTCTGATTGCTCTTGGCCTTCCTTGGCTCCGCGCAGTCAGCCCAAGGCACCAAAGGACTACCGGATAGACTTAAATCCAGGGTTCCCCCATGGGGGGTTGTCTCACTCCTGGGTTTGGAAAGGCAGGGGAAGCGCCGCTTGGAAAGGAAAGCTGCTGAAGGACCCATGAGCGAATGTCGACCTCAAGTTGGCCGTAACCGTCCTAGTCAAGCAGAAGGAGGAGGAGGAGGAGACGAATAAGAGGAACAGAAAGCCCCATGTGTGGCGAAGAGACTGGCGCTTGCAAAAGCTGCGATCCGATGTCAAGCGTTGAGTCAGCCGATTCTGCTCCACCCCCGAAGGTCGCAAAAAAAAGCTTAGGACATGGAGACGCATAATCCGAATACGTTCTGCGGACGTGGCGTTCCCAGCCCAACGACTACTGGTGACAAGCCCATGGCCGCCCCGCAGGCATCACAAAAACACACAAACAAGTTGCTGGTGCTTTTGGATTCCTCACACTCCCGAGCGTATTGGCACAAAAGAAGTCGACCCAATCTCTTGGTTTGCCATGAAAATGGTCCAAAGCCCAAGAAGTGACTAAAGCTCATGAGGTTCCGATTTCAAAAACCTGCAACGGGCGCCGGCGTGCCGCGCACCGCCGCTCAAACAAGCGGCGCTTTGGGCGTGGCGGTGGCCTCAGCTGCCGCTTGCCCGGCGGCCAACGCGGCCTGGAGAACACGCAACCGTGGCCCGGTGGATTCTCCCTGTGGGGAATCCCTGATAGGATTTATTCTTAGGAATCCCTGAGACTGTGGCTCCCCCTTAGAGAATCTTAGGGAATGTGGAGAACCAGAGAATTTACCACGATCCAAGTCACCTTTCAAGTGGTAGGTTTTAAGGGAACAACCGATTCCATTCTCTGACTTTGATAACAACGGGTAACATAATGAGCCCAGTTCAATTTTGGGAATCTTTGAGGGGGACTCCAAGGGGTTCCCCAAGGCTTAGGGAATCCTAGGGAACCCTAAGCAACCCTAGGGCTCTCAACTACCCTTGCTGCCTCCTTAGGGGGTTGTTTGTCAGTTCCTGAATTTCAGACCCATTGGCGGTCTGGAGGTGTTCGAAATTGGGTGGTTTAGTTTCCATTTACCCACAGGCCTCTACAAAAGCCAGGGGTTCAAGCCCCCACCACAAATCCACAAATTCAGGACCCTGTCAGCCTGAAGTCAAGCCATGAAAAAAGCTGATTTTTACGGATTTCACCAAATTGTCCAGATCTCAGACCCTGAAGCCCCGTCATGGTTCTAAGGCGATCTGGATTCAACCCAAATATTCTCCAGTTTTTGGGCACATGGGGTTTGAGTCTCAAAATGCAAATATGACTCCACAAAAATTCCAAAAAATGGAAAAAGTGCTCTTGTTTGGGGAACCCTCTGTAGGTTGGTTTTAGAGGGAAACCAAACGGAAACCAAGCATTTGGAGAAGCCCTGATTGTGCGACGAAGTCACAGAGAAGGATGCATCAGAAAACCACCTGCTTCCCAAGAGGATCCTCTAAATCATCTGCGGATGCATAATTGCCCGGCGCATCACACCACCTCCTTTCGCGGGTTCAGAGAAGTGCGAGAATTGTCTTGATTGGATACGTAAAACTGTAAAACGACCACCAACTTTACTCGCCTGAACAAACAATCTTGGAAGTGCGCAGGAGGTCGTCAAAAAGGATGTACTCTTTCAACCCCACAGCTCACCAGACAATGTGAACCATTCTGACCACTGCCACGGAGGTTGGAAAGAGGGGGGGTATTGTTTCCCTTGTAGGCCAACCTCCAGCTGAATCCCAGCCCATGACTTCAATCAAGGTCAGAAGCAGCCTCAGCCAAATCATGTGAACCTGTCCGAAGAAGCAACATTAGTCTAGCTGACCAAAGGGAACCCGACATAAACCCCTGGTTGAGTGATAAGGAGGGTCCCCTGTCAGTGAGAATTCATCCGGTGACACCTAGGTTTATTCGGTGTTCCCGGTACACTTTTATCAGACCTGTTCAAAGGACTCCGCAAAATCCTCTGTCCGCTATACGTTTGACTCCTCAATGTCGTTCATAGGCAAGGCCCCCCGCCAAAAAAACAACACAATCGAAAGACACATCCCTTATACGTCAATCAGCCCAGGGGCTCGCTTTGCACAATCTTGCCGCCAGAAGGGCTCCCCAAATGGTATCTCGTAGAGATAGACCGCCCACAAAGGATTCCACACAATATAATTTTGTATGGACTATATGTTTTACTCGTAGATCATGCAAGCCAAGTGTCTGGTTGTGTCTGAAAATGGATGACCTCCAAAAATGATAGGCTTCCTCAGGAATTATCCTCAAAGCCACCCCCCAAAGCGTACCCTCCAAAAACACTTCGGCTCCTGGTCTTGACCGCATCTCGTTGATATGGGTGTCTTTTTTGAGGGTACCCTTTTTGGGGTTGTTGGAGGGAAAACCAAAAAGACACCCCCATGGCAGGTCCGACAAGGCGCCCTTGCAAGCTTTACAGCTCCCTTTTGGGGCATCCTTGTGCGGAATTTGCGCCAGTTCCAATACCAGGTAGCATTCCCATCCCCATGACTCACAGCAACCGGCACGCAGATCCCAATGTCTGGACACATTCACTCATCACTTTGAAGCATCTGCGTACGTGATTGCTTGGGGCCCTCCAAAACAGCACAAAAACAGGGCAAAACCAAGCCGGGCGTTTGTGTGTTCTCTTTAAGTTGAACAAAGGGCACCCTAAAAACATATACACGCAGGCACACACTCACACGCACCCACGCACGCGCGCGCTGCAAACCCCACGCAAGGAGGAAATTGCAAACCTCAAATGGTCAAACCGGCAAATTTGGACCTGGATCTCCAAGGACCCCCCCTTAGCAAATAAATAAACAAAAACATAAAACAAACAAACAAATAGATAAAGAAAGACACATATCCCACAAAACCAAACCACAATCCTTGGAGGGCCCCCCCCCCCAAGGGGAACAAAAACAAACAGAAAACAACAACCAACACTCAAAAGCCAATCCTTAGAGATCGCCCCCTCAAAAAAAAGAAAACAAAACAAAACAAACAACAACAAACAGCCGAGAAAAAACAAACCAAACAACCACAAACACCCAACCCCCCCCCCCCCCCCCCAAAAAAAAAAAACAACGGAAAAAAAAGGAGAAACCACGCGGCACCACCAAGGTGGGTCTGCCCCTCACTTGCCCCGAAGAAGAAAAAAAGTTGCGCGCCTCTGCGAAGCTCAGCAGAGGCTCCGCCACCTGCTCCGCCTTGTCCACCTCCACCTGCGCAATAGGGGGGATATATCTACAGGTATATATATATATATATACCGCCCCAAAACAGGCTAAATTCACGGGTAGTACTACCAGTGAACTCTGCAGACAGTTTTTTTTTGGGGGGGGTCCTATATATATATATATATATATCGCTCTCTCTCTCTCTCTCTCTCTCTCTCTCTCCCCAGCATATATACAAATATTATGAGATACATGTTTATCTGTGGAAATAGGTGCAAACGTCTATATCTGAATAGATGTAATATATGTATATATATATATGTACATAGACATACAAACCAGCTATACTATATATATACATGGTTTGTTGATTTATCTGTCTTGTGAAAATAATAAAGCGACCGACACATCCTTTTCCCAAGGGAAAGCGTCCCTTCCTTTTTGTGTGGCTGGCCCATTTCCCCAACAATATAACGAACAGGCACAGCGATCGGAGGCCACCGGGGCTTGGTGTGGGGGTGGTTTCCAATGGGAGCCAAAGAAAGCCGTGGGCGCGTTGCTTTTAAATGGGGCCTGGGTCCCCTATATATAATTTTTAGACACCCCCGTTTGGTGGTTTGGCTGGGCCTTGGATTGGAAGTTCGGGGGTTCCCGTATATCAGGGTTCAACCCCCCAAAAAAAACAACAATCCAACCACTAGAGGGGTACCTCTCGCCTCCAATTGGAAACCCGAAAGAAGAAAGGAGACCAACAGCTTCAGCTATTGAATGGTGCTCTTCAAGCCAAAGACTCAAACAACAACGAACAAAACACAGGGGAAATCAGGGACAAGCCAGGGAGCCACTGCCACCTGACAGCCCGAGAATACCATTCGGTATGACTTGCCAACCATAGGCTTGCCTTCGACTGGACGAATCATTTTGAAGGACCTTGAAGTGAGATCAAACTATAAACTTTTGACCTTCACAGCATTTTGGACCATGGGTTTTCCTTCACCAGGCTGTGAGGGAGAACGTTTCAACTCCGAGCCTGTCCCAAGCACCCGATCCAAATTGCCTCGGTCGCAAGGGCTACACCCTCAGCGTCCCAGGTTTTGTCACTCAAGTTTGAAGGACCCCTGAAAGCACGTGAGCCATTTAACAGGGCGCGCCATCCAGTGAAAAAGGCGAGTGTACTTTGCAATTGCTTTGATCAGGGATCATGAAGGAACATGAACTTACCTTTTCGAGTGGATCCCAGGAAAGTCATTCCCCATTTGGTTCTCTTGCCGGGTGTTTCGATTGGCTGATCAGGGGAATGGAATCCCGCTTGAAGGGCATCGAAGACTCTGGGATGCTCTTCCTGAACGAGTTAAAGGGTTGATATGGTTGATAACCTTTTCTAGGCTTGATGCTAAGCATGTTGCCTCTACTCCGCAAATTAGCATGGTAACCAGAGAAGGGAGAGAAAACAACTTTCCCGAAAGGAACCAGTCACCAGTTGAGAGCCATGGACTTTGCCCCGGCCTCTGCGGGCGCGAGTCTTGCCTCCAGCTCGTCTGACAAGGCTTTCGCCTCCGCGTGTGCCTTGAAGGTCTCCTGACCATGGACGAAATCCGCGAGCCTCCCACCACCTAAGAAACCCTGGAATCATAGGACCCCCCTGTAAATACCAAAGTTCTGCAGGAATTCAAAGCGGTGCACCAACGATAAGTTCCACCATGGTTTCAAAGTGGTGCGCGGATTTCGTCCATCCACAGTAGCTCGCTTGGCAGTTGAAAGGTGAATGGTCATGTCGACCCATGAAATCAACCAACCAGTTTATGAATAGAGGGTTGTCCCCACCAAAAGCAGGGACACCAGGACCCCTAGTAATAAACAGGGGTTGATTAATATGGCTCAACATTCATCCTTACTCCTGACCTTGGGTTACGCAAGGATTTGGTCCCCTTATCCCTTTGTAGTGGCTTCCCTACAGGGATTATGGATTAGGATTGGCCAACCCTCCATTTTGAACAGGCTTAGTGCGCGTTGGCATGCAAACAGTACTTCCCTACCAAATGCCGGAGACGGTAGGATAATTGGGGGGCCATAGGTAGGGTGAGGGGTGAAGAAACTTGATTCAGAAACCAACCAGGGAAATGCAGAAAACCCTACAATAAGGTTGCTGCTTCTCACTGGGCGAGCCGTGTTCCTTGTTTTTTGGAACCTGGGCAAGCCATCAGTGGCCACTAGTTGGATGGTTCACTTCGGGGCCACTCATTCCAACTCGCCGTCCTGGGCCTGCAGGAAGGGCACCAACTTCCTCAGCACAGCTGACCAAAGCGTCAGCGGATCGTTTCGCGAAATCCGCGAGTCTCACACCTAAAAAGCCCGGTGTGGTTTCTGATGGAATGTATCGATCGAGCCCCCTTCAAATACCAACAAACGTTTTGGTGTCAACCATGGTCTCAAAGTGGTGCGAACGGAGTTCGTCCATCCACAGCAAAAAAGCGCCGAAAACACCATGGGATACCATGGCTCTGAATGAACCAGCCGAAACACAAATACTGCGGAGTCCGCGTGGTGTGGACTATGTTCAAAGCACCTCTCGGATCTAAACTGCGAACGCCGTTCTTGTCTAGGTTCTGGCTGATTGCCTGGCTTCAAAAGGACCTCCTTATGCTCCAGGGTTCCATTGGACAATATCCAGAGGTGCAACATAAACCTCAATCTTTTCCAGGCAAAATCAACCACACATGAAATCTGGTCCATATTTTGACAGGCTTAGCAGAAAGACAAATGATATCAATTGAGCTTCAGGAAGACACAAATGGGTGCCAAACTCCCAAACCCCACGCAGGTATTTCCGGAAGGGTGAGAATAAAGAATCCCGGACCCCTCTTTTTGGGCGTTGGTTTTGCAGGGCCATAGCCCCTCCAACAAACACGCGAAGAAAAAAGGACACAACCCAATCCCGAATAGAAAGGCGACTTTATCAGGCCTCTTGCGGGTTAATAGTCTCTTTTTTGAAAACTCTTGGGGAGGGGGGAGGGGTGGGGGTGACAAGGGTGACAAAATGAAAAACATCGGTGATTCATCTCCAAACGAGTCGCTGGTTCGCCACCCGCAGCTTCTCCCGAAAGCTGCCCAGGGCGTCAGTGGCCTGGCGCATTTCGCATCCCTCCGCCCGAGTCTTTGCACTGGTCTGTTGGAGTTCGGCTCCCGAGGGAAGCCGAAGCCACGAAAAAGGGCGAACCTTTCCGGCGCGGTTTCCCTCCCGCGCGCGAGGATTCACTGAAATGCCTGGCCAACTTCCCAACCTTCCCAACCCTTAGGGGCGCAAAAAACCCCAAGTGCTTGGCAAAAACATGCTCGGCGAACCCCTCGGGTCAGCGGGCCACTTGGGCTTACTGCCTGGGCTTCCGCTTCGCCCGGGCGCCTTGAGCCGGCCCTGGTCGCTCTCGAAGTTCTTCAGCATGCCCAGTTTCAGGCCGATGGCCTGGGCGAAAGTTCGCAGATCAAGCCCCTTGCCCAGTCGACTCAGGGAGTTCCAAGAGAAATATGGCGGTGGCTCAAGGCAAGTACCAAAAGGCACCTTGGCAAATGTAACCAACGATTGACACCTGCGTAATTCGGCTCTTTACCTTTTGAGCCAAACCCGTATGTATCAGAAATCACAAACGATGGCGTTGCCAGGGCATGGTTCTTCAGGCACAGCCTTGCAATGGCTATGACTTAGCTCCCCCATGAGAATGATCTCAAAACCAGGATCCGCCTCAGTTGTCTTTGTCAATTAATTCTCCATAAATCAATGGCCGGCGGCCTCCATGCAACCTTCAGGCCAAAGGGGCCCAGTCACATGACTCGCGCGAACGCCCACGATGAAGGCTCCTTTCATAGGAGTCCCTTATTTCCGCTTTGACTATTGTGATTTGCCCCAGGTTTACTCGGTTGAAAATAACCATGGTATCAAACCTTAGAATTGGGCCCCAAAATCATTGAGCCACCCAAGTTGGGGGTCGCAACCCACCAACCAAACAACATGAAGAGGGTAGAATCCACGGAACAACTGAAATAATGAAAGTATGTATATATGCATATATATATATATGAGAATATATATGAGAATATATATATATATATGTGTATGCTGTATGATTGTATTATAAATTGTGACTATTTGCACGTATACGTTTAAAGGTTCACATCTTTATTTGTATATATAATGTACTTGTGCTGCCGCGCGCAGGGCCTAAGGTCTTGCAACCTATCCCCCAGCCCGGCTTCACAGAGCCCTAAGGCCGCGGCAGTCAGCGCCTCTTTGACCTGAAGGTGACGTGCGCGCAGCGCGGTCCTTTTGTGTTTGTTCGAGAGTTTAGCCGGAAAAACGGGTGGGGGTAGGGTGGGGGTAGGGTCGGGGGTAGGGTGGGGGTAGGGTGGGGGTTAAGGGGTGGGTGGGAGTAGGGTGGGGGTTAAGGGGTTGGTGGGGGGTGGGTGGGGCAAAACAGAAGGGAGACCATGCGGAAGCCGTGCCCAGGGGAACAACGTCAAAATCCGCTTTGACATCGGCAAACAGGGCGACTTAGCCCAGGCCCGGTTTGCCGCACACTGAAGCGACGTAACTCTGCCAAGCCACAGCAGCAGCAGCCTGCTTTGCGGACTCCTGGCGCAGCAAAGCAAGCGCGGAAAATGAGGTGATGAGGTGCTTGTTCATCCCCACCAAAGAAACAGGAGATGCAAGGGATCAAGACATTCAGACTGCATGCCTTCATCCCAACAGGAACCAACATGAACAGCCTCGCATCGAGATCCCTGGTCCTCCGTCTGCTGTGCCGCCTTCTGCGCCTCGTTCAGGTCTTCCCCAGCCTTCAGCGACTGGGCTCCCCGTGTTCCCTTTTTTCTGGGCAGATAGAAACACACAATGCCCTCCCCTGGCCCTCCCCCTCCTACAGACATCACCCCACTTTTCAGGAAGCTCATGTTGAATTGGTGCGATGGCAAGCCGCTGACAAAGGACCTTGCCCACATCATAACCATGGAATAATCGTAATTCAGGCTTCCACTTGTAGGGACCGTACAGGCCACCCAGTGAGCCTAGGGACAGTGAAACTACAACCCTTGGTCTAGTTCTGATCATTCTACTTCACCCACCATGCCGAAGCGGACCTTCACCAATGTGAGCTCCTACCACCAGTATACCAAGGCATTGGTTTTGGCGGGCCATCTGTTCCTGGATGTTTCTGGTCGTGCTGCCGGGTGCACAAAATCCGCTTCGCATCACCTTGTGGGTGCTTTATCCCAGCATTCATGAGGCATCCGTCCCAACTGTGGGATTTTGTTGATCCACAGTGTCCAGTATTGACCTTTCCACCTTTCCTCTGCACGCCGAGGCGCGTGTTCGATCATCGCCGAGGTAATCTCCGCCTTTTCAGCCAAGTCCTGGCAATGGGCTGGGAGCTGGGGACGTACGTGTCAGAAGTGGGTGCTAACAAACACGCAGCCGAAGTTGAGGGAAACTTCCACGGGAAGCTTGCGATTTGAAGCTCGCCAGGCTGAATGCTCGCGAGTCAAGCTTCTGGGAGCCCTCTGTGACTTTGATGGACTTTTGAAGCTGGTTTTCTAACCAAAACTCAGCCAACCCTTTTGCCAGTGCCGGGATGGTGGGTCGCCTCGGTTGCCTGAACTTAGCCAAAATCTAATATCCGCCTGCCAGTGAATCACTGAATTACCACACACTTTGTGCAGTCTACATTTCAATTTCCCTTTGAACAATTCACGAAGGCAATGACAAGGACAAGAAGAAAAAGGAGAAGGGCAAGAAAAAGCGGAGCCAACACAGGTCTCCACCCCGTTTCATTGCCGTCATCTTGTCGTCCGGTAACTTGCAAATGGCTATTTAGCGACCAGGTTTCAAACTACTGTCGGCGCTAAGCAACAAAGCCACAAAATTCAACCCGCGAGGGTTTTCAACAAGGAACAGCAGGGGATGCCGGGTTCCCAAAAACAAACATGGAACCTGCACAGGGCTCCCCTGAAAAAGAAAGTGGTCTGCCAGGAACCCCTGTGCAGGTTCTACGTGGCCATGAATTTTAATAAGGAATCACCTCCAAAGTGGTTGGTGGACATAAGTCCCCACCTATAAGATGGTGTCCACCACAGGGTCCCTTGTTAAAAATCACACCCTTGTTCGTTTTCAGGAAATTGACTCAAAAAACAAAAACAACTCGTTGACTGCCACGTCAACACGGCCACCGACTCCGCTGCCGATCCGTCCGACCCAAAGCGGACTCCGATCGATGTATCGCTCCGGTCCTCGGCCGCGTGAAACTTCTCGGTGATGGCGGCCATCATCTCCTTGAGCAGCTTCTCATCCTTGGGTCCCGGCGCCCCAGTAAAAGATTTCCCATGAACCTCACCTTGCTTGACGTTGGAAGGGGAGCAACAATTTAGATTCTTAGCAGTTAAGCGGGGGTTTCAACCAGTGAAACACAATCAGCAAAAATAAAAAATGTTTTTTCCAACAACAACCATGTCACCAAGAGGAAGCTCACAACCAAAAACGGCCCAAGGTGATGCTGAACACAAGGGAAGTAATGTTGACCCTATATTTATCAACCCAAGTTGATTAATAGAGGGGTGTCCCTGGGTTTAGTTGGGAATCATCACTTTGGAGGGGGAACACCCCCTATTAACAAACTCGAGTTGACTAATATGGGATCAACACTATAGGGACACCTGTCCGATGGAAACAGAATCCCAAGACTAAGATGCCAGTTGGGTTGCGGTTTACGCAGGGCATAATCCCAATGCATGGGACGCTCGTACAAGGGGTCGAAACCACCTGGCGAAAGGACGAAGGCTAATAATAAGTGAACGGTACGGCGTGGGCGCCTGGGGCAAGCGAAAAAAAAGGTTGTCTCTGGCATGCTGTCGTGGCTGTGGCGGGCTGCCAGGGAACGTCTAGGCCTTGCTGCTTTTGGTTCCGGTTTTACTCTGGTAGATGTGGTTGTTTTGTAAAGCGACGTCTGCCGAAACGGGGTTGCGACCATCCAGATGACATGTCAAACCTAGTCCTTGGGAGGGCCGTGAAACTGCCACTCCGGAAATAGGAAGGTGACTGGGATATGTGTCTGAAGGAAGGCAACCGGAAACCCACCATTCCAGAAACTACTTCCTCAATAGGACCTATAGGCCACGTCAACCTGGGGTTGCTCCGAAGTCCTGGAGAAGTTAGCACGGGTTTCCAGTAACCACAGCAAGGTGCATCCCTACAACATTCGCGGCAGGTTTGGGGGTGGGGGGATGGGGTTATTTGTTTCTAGAAAGGGGTGGGGAGGGGGGGCGGGGTCTGGCTCAAGGCCCCGGCATGCTAAAAGCGCGGCATGCTTGTATCAGCATGTCTTCCGGATTCGGGTTCGAACGGTTCCCAAGTTCGCATGGTTTGCACATTTAACAGCAATGTGCTTGGTTGTTGGATTTCCCGTCATGTCCCAGCATCCAGCGATCAAATCCAAAACCAGCCCTTTTGCTCTGGTTGCCGCCATTGGCGGGTTCGCAGGGCATTCATGGCAAACGTACCGGCAAACCAAAGGTGTTGGGATCTGTCCGGGCATGAATCGTGCGATTGAGTTTGCAGGTCGAAAGCCAGAGGTCAAGTGAGCACACTGGCCTTTTTGAGCGTACACCTGACCTTTGATGGAAGGCCTTTGTATCGAGTTTGCGCAGAGGTCAAGACACCCGCCGCATACCCTTGTACCCGCGAAGGCTTCACGTTGGGTTGTTTGCGAAAGATTGTATACCGTAGAAGTTTTTTGAAACTGCTAGATGCAAACTTAAACCGATTCTTGATCTTATGGACGTGACCCCCTGTTCTCAAGGTAGGGGATCAAGCAGCGTTCGAGTTGATAAGCTACTTCAGGTTGCCAAACTGGCTCGCCTGCCCCAGAAGAAAGAACTTGACCAACTGTCCTGATGTCAACAAGCACAACAAATTGGACCAGTGCCAGGAAAACAACAGAACTCAAGCTGCACTACGCCTGTACACTTGGTTGTTTGAAAAAACTTGGGATCCTTGTAGGTCACGAGAAATTGACCAACCCCTCTGAGTGCTCAGAAACTCGAAACCTCTGGGCTCCAATGCCCTCTGCTCAGACTGCTTCTCCTTCTGCACCCGCATGACCTGGTCGACCCACAGAACATCTCTCGACATAAATGGAGATAGGCCTGGTGCTGACATTCTGTGTTTGAGTCCCATACGGGCAGTCAAACATACGGCAAATAAAGGAACCCATTGTTGCTTTTCCAGTTGATCATGTTCACCAAGACGTATCCATGAGGGAACAGGGCGATTTGGTTGCGCTGTTGAGCTGATGTCTTCATGACGTCTGGCACGAAACTCCACGTGCCAGAGGAATACATCCCTTTTTGAGGGTCCCCTTGTTGTGTTCCACCCCCCCCCAACACCAAAAACAACACCCACACACACAAGAAACAGGACAGGTGGGAAAAAAACACTGCACGCTGTCCGCACGTCCCACCGGTCGCAGCGCAGCTCAGGCCTGCGGGATCAGCGCCTGCTGCACGCGTCGCGCGTCTTGAAGCCCCCCCCCCGCCGCGGCTGCTTTTGGAATGTTCAAGTGGTGTCCAAAAGCCATCCCGCAACGGGTTGAAAACGGGCAAACACGGGCCTTTGGCAGTTTCAATTGTTTCACCCTGCCCCGTGTTTCTCACATAAGTTCTTCGTTTGCGATGTGACAATGAGGTTCTGCAACCCTCTGCGCCTGATGGATCTTGACAAGAACCCAAGCCATCTCCTCTGAGAAGCGGCTAGTGCGGGTTACGCCAAACCAGGCATCGAACAGCAAAGCTACAACCAACATCGAGGTCCCTAAAGCCTTCTAGGGGCTTCGAAACACTTGCCCGAATTTCTGGGGGCCTTCCTGAAATCAAGGAAGGGAACTCTTGGAAACAACATCCCGCGTACCTGCCGTTTGCTTGTCGACCCTTTGGAAAAAGAGAGAGGGGCCCTCGGAGACTCTCTACGCTTGTTCGGGAATGACCCCTACAAACCATCCAACTGGTGGTTTCCTTTCAGGGGACCCCTGGGTTCATTCCCTCATTCCCTACCTATCGCACCAGCAAGTTCTGCCCTAGATAGTCAAACCCATCTGCCCGCAAACATCGCAGGCGCAGCGCCTTCACCTTCGTCACTGCTTCGCCCACTTGCACATGGGCGCGCCGGATCTTGGACCTCAGAGATGACAAACGTTGACCCCACGTTGGTGGGAAGCCTCCCGGAACGCCTCCAAACCACCAATTAGATTGAAGCCGAGTTTATTAATAGTGCGGTGGCTTTTGGCACCGCCAAAAGTGGTCTGATTCCCAACTAAACCCGGGGACACCGGGACCCCTATGAATAAACTGGGGCTAACCTTTGAACCTTGCGAGCGGTTTGCACCTAGAGGCCATGCATGCCTTCGCAAAGCAAAGCGCTGGTCAAGGGCCAAGCAAATCATGCCATACAGGTCGAGCCAAGTCGTGTGCCTGGAAAACGAAACCCTGTGTGGTTGGAATTATCGTACGAATTGCTGAACATCCGGGCAAAGCAGCTGAAATCACTGATCCTTTGGACAACGAAATGCAAGCTTGCCCTTTGGGGTCCGCTAAACATGGTGGCCGAAACGGGGGAGCTGCAATGTCACTCCATTGTCACTCCGGCGAAAGACCAGCCACGCTCAGCTCGTTAGAAAACACCGCCCACCAGAATCTCAACCAGTGTGGATGCTTAGTGGGAAGCCGTGAAATGGTTGGCCCTGAGCCCCTGTCTTGAGAACAACAAACCGGAAGCTCTGCGGAGACACGCAGCAAACACAACTGGGTCTCCGAACTCGAGACTGCGGACGGCCTCACCTGCTCAAAGTCACGAGGCTCGCTCTTCTTTTGATAGATGGCGCAAAGAAAGAAACAGGTGTTCCAAATGGGTGTCTTTGTTTCTCAGGGAAGCCCCAAACTGATGGTGTTCCTGTTGGCTTCCCTCTAAACCAACCCCAAAAGGGTCCCTCAAAAAAAGACGCACCCAGAATGCACTGGAAGATGTTGGGTACAGCTAGGGGCAACAGGGATCACGTTGCTTGGTGCACCGCGAAACGGTCGCTTCACATTGGCCAGGAAGGGGTCGGCTAGAATCCCGGTGCCATCTGGGTGCAAACATCTGAGCCATCGGTTCCTGTGGACAGGGAAAAACGTGGATGAGTTCCTTAACTTCCGCGAGAGGAGGTACTGAGATTCCACGTCCCCAAACTCACCGGCCGATATTTTGGCCGCACCCCATCGCGTGTGAACCTGAAAAGAGGGATGCCTGTCCATCAGCACATGTCACGTGCATGTTGACTCACACGCATTGTGCAGCCAATCTAGTCTGGAAGCTCTAAACAAGCCGTCACTTCTTGAAGGATTGACCTGCTGCAAATGCCAGCCAAATCGACTAAACAGCCGATGCTACAATCTCAAGCGCTACAAAATCTTACTCATCCCCACTTGGACATCCACGTGTTGTATCAGGAACACTGGGTTGCCGATACGTCAACAAAGCGGCAACTAAAATGCATTGCTGTTGATGTTGCGTCTCTGAGAACCCATCGTTCAGCGTGCTACACACATAGGCCAAACAAAAGCACACACACACAAACACATTGTGTGAGACGGGCTTGATGTAGTATGAAATGGCCACCTGGGACGGACATGCTTTTGCGAATCGGGACAAGAAACAAGAGCCGCGCCCCGCGTGACAGGACTGTGACAGGTAGGCTCGATTCTGGATGGGTCGGTTGAATCGCTTTGCACTCAAACGTGTAGAGCACCCAATAAAAGTACGGCCCACGCAAACTGAACACCACCACCAATGCTTTGAGCCAACGCACCTTCTTCGTCTTCTAGGGGGGGTGGGGGCGGATGGTCCAAAGATGTCAAAAGCTCTTCTTTAGCTTCTTCATCAGCTTCTTCTTTCATTTTTACCTTCTTGTTTGGGGAGAGGGGGGGGGGGGAATTGCGGCTGGTCAGAACTGGTTTTTTTCCTTCGGGCCCAAGCCATCCCCAGCAACTCGCTCGACTCGCCCGCGCCGAGGCCGGCAGACTCCACTTGCTTGAGCTGATCCTGGAGGGCCTGGAGTACAATGGGGGGCCTGCATGGGGATGCCCAACAAACGCCGTGCCGAGCAAACGAAACAGGGTGGGCTTTGTTGCCTCCCTGAGATAGTTAGTTTGGGGGGTTACTCTGTCTAACATGGCGGGCGTTTGCCTCCACATGGCTGGTTTAGGGGTTTACTCTGTCTAACATGGTGGGTGTTTCCCTCCACATGGTTGGTTTAGGGGTTTACTCTCCCCAACATGGTTGTTTTTGCCTCCCTAACATGGCTGGTGTCCCTAAGATGGTTGGTTTGAGGGTTGATTCATTTTTTCTTGTTTTTTCAACCATGCTTCTTGTTGGAAAGAAAAGTCACCGAAAAGAAGGGAAAAGATACGTTCTTTTTCTCAAACGTTGTTTGTGCCTCCCCAAGATGGTTGGTTTCCCAATGCATTCCCTTTGAACGCAAACCCCAAGGGATAATTTTCAGAAAAACACTGAGTCGAGCACTGGCGAGTGAACACTCACACACAGGCTGCAAAATTGAAGCCGTACAATGAGTAAAGCAAAGGCGAGTGAACACACACACACACACACACACACACACACACACACACACACACACACACACACACACGCGCGCGCGCGCGCGCGGTTCAATGAGACAAGCAACGGTGAGTGAACAAGCACACACACACACACAGGCACGCGTGGGCTGCAAAATTGAAGCAGTACAAGAAGTCAACCAAAGGCGAGTGAACACGCTCATCACTGGACTGACTCTTCTCCGGGGAAAAAAACGAACAAAGTCCACCGGGTCCTTTTGGTGGGACTTGTCTTTCCCCCCCGCCCCCCCCCCCACCCCCCCCGCCCAAAGCCCAGAAGGGCTGCCGCTGCCTGAATGTGCGGCTTCAGCGAGGCCTGCGCGAGCTTCCGCGTTTGCTCCCCCAAAACTATCGGAAGGAAGCCCCGAAAGCTGAGCCAGCGAAAACGTTTGGGACATGGACCCCGATTTGATGTTAACATTTTAGTTTGTAGGGGGCTGGTGGGGTCCATTGATGTTAACATTTTATATAGTCCCCTAGCTTGATGCTGAATATGTGCCAGGAGGCGTTAGGAGAACACACAAGCTGAACTCGCAGGCGTGGATGATATTCGGGAGGGTGGTGGGATCCATTGGTCCAATCGCCATAACTAGGGAAACTGAGGAGCCTCTGTCGGTGGAACACAAAAAGGCTGGTTTATCCTAAGGTTTCATCCATTCCAGCTCGTGCTGATTGGCATGCATTTTGTCCCACCGCAACCTCCCCCCATTCTGAAATGCCTCGCTTCACAATCATCAAGGAGAGGGTTGAAGGAGTTTTTTTCTGAAAGCTTTTGCAATGGCTTCAAAATCCAGTTCTTGGAACATGTCAGCTTTCTGGCCCGGCAAGTGCCAAAAGCATTGCAGTTCTTAGATAGAAGCAAGCTCATTCGTAATTACCGCAGGACCCAAGTGCCTCCACATCCTTCAGGACGGTCGGATCCAGGCCTGGAACCAAACCCTGTGCGTCAGCTTGCACGCCATTTTCGCAATCTGGTGGAAATCCAGGGCAGCTGATTTCCAAAAGCGTCGGACCCTAGGGTCGGAAGGAAAATTTGCCCTTGAAGCATTCCTGCAGGAGGTGCTTCTTTTGTGAGGAAGTTTTCCCTGACACTGCTGCCAAAACTGAGGAAGTATAACCCTGGTCGGCTGCTAGTTATACCGTTATACCACTTCATGTCCGTTTTTGGCTTTGGTAAGTGGGCACATGTGTGTTTCTCAGATAGAGGCCCTTTTTGGATGGCTTTGCATTAGGCAAAGCAACAAGCCAACCACCTGAAGAGGTCCCCAATTTCGAGCACCCCCCAAATAAGACTATGGGGTCGGCTCAGGTTGGCGTTGCTTCAGGATTCCCCTGCTTCTCCCTCAAGCATCTGCAAAAAACAAGTCTGGCAAGGGAAATCAGGGGGAAACAAGTTTCAAAACTAATTGATCACAAGGAGAGAAACCTGCCACTGAACACCTGGGCTTTCGTCCTTGCCGCTTGAACTGCTTGTTGAACAACGAACAGGTCACCCCACAAGGACAACGCAGAATTGTATGGAACTGACCCACTGCAAGTTTGATGGGAACCTTGTGACTTACTTGCCCGACTCCATGCTCGAACTATGCCTCTGGGTTCAAGCCACATCATAGTTGAATGCACAAGGGAGTGGCTGGCACAAGCCCCAAAATGATTCTCAAAGTGGCCAAAATATAAGACTGCTTGTCAGGCACCCCGCTCAAATTCAGCTTCCGCAAATCTTCGCATGCGGCAAACCAACACACCCATAGGTGGCTGGCTGCCGCACCCAGTGAACCACTGAAGAAGCATGAAACCCAAAACCCATCATCCTTTCTGGGGCGGAACCCTTTTGGGTTCCCAATAGGGGGGTGCCCTTCTTGGATGGCAGGAAACCAAAAGGCAACAAAACATCTGTAGCTCTTTCTCTCTCTCTCTCTCTCTCTCTCTCTCTTTTGTGCCGTCGAAAGTCTGGTGCAGAGAAGCGCAGGGCACTTTGCCCGCCAGCAAAGAAACTCAGGCCTGCTCTTTAAAAAGAAAGTCTCCGGGCACAAGGACAAATCAATTGCTACGTGCTTCTGTGAACACTCCGACAAAGTGCACGGCAAAGCCACTGTCGCCAAAGTGACAGTCCCATCACACATAATCAGACATGAAAGGTTGCTAGAAACAAACTGATCACCATATTGCACACCACCGATTCCAAAGAAGGTTCAAAAGGAAAGCTGGAATCCCGGAATTTCTGTCGCCTCATCTATGAACGAAGTGAAATAATCGACTAGTCGCCCAAAGGGCGCAGAAATCAAGGGTCAACCTTTTGGGGCCACGAAACATAGACCAGAAAAGCCAAAAGGACAGATCCGGTCGATTAGCTGTGGACTGAGACCTGTCTGGGGTCCCACGATCCAGCTTGGCTCCCGCGCTTCCGTGGTCTTTCTCGCACACGGCTTCTCAGCGCGCCAGATTGAAATGGATGCGTGCGCGTTCACGGGAGAGCCACACCACTTTGTTCAAACATGCGATATGTCGTGCTCCTATTGGCTTCCCTTCAAAGGGGGCCAGGTGCTTCAACTTCAACTTTGCCCAACCCTGGCGGCCACTAGTTGATGCAGTTCTTCAAGGAAGCGTCAACACAGGAGCGATCACGCCGAGGAGCATCCATCACTCACGCAACTCACTGCGCATGTCAAGGGGTCAAGGCTCTTCCACTGCAACCCACCGGCTCATGCACCATACATATCCCAGGCACGAAGGATTGCAGGGTAGAAACACTACCGGGAGAAACTGTTGGGGACAACTAACTTCTGCAAAGGCACAGGTAGTGCTCCATTTGACATTTCCTCTGCTTGCTGGATCTAGGCAGGTGGTAACCCCATCTGCCAAAAGCTTCCGCCAAACGATCTCCGCGCCTGTCCGGCTGGCAGTGACGCGATTCTTTTACGGCTTGAGTTGAGGCCTTTTGCCAAGCGTGCGTGCGCCTTCAGGGTCTCACGCTGGTTTTTAAATACCCGAACATGTCGCAACCAAGCCATGTTGAGGTGGAAGCCCTCGCCTCGAAGCCCCTATGACATGTTGCACGGTGTCCGTAACTTGCGCGCAAGGCATTTGCTGGCTCCGCGCAATCCCGGAACTAGGAAGCCTAAACACGAACCGGATCCCCGGTTCAAAACACTCGCTCACATCATTGGGGCTGACCACTGCTTTTCCGCGAAACGTGCAGGCTGCCCAGGAAATTAAGTGAACCAAATACTGGGTTTATCTGTTGTCCGTGATGCATGTTGAAATGTGTTGGTTTTGCGATGTGCGTTACATGTCAAACCCGGTGCAATCAATTCCATGCTTGCCCACCCCATTCTTCCAAAATGCGAACATGTTTCGCGCGCGAGGAGCAAGGCCTGTATAATTGACAATGAAACAAAAACCAGTGGGAACGCAAGCCAGTGGCCAGCCCGAAGCTAATGGCCATTAAGAAGCCGCATTCAAGGACAGCTGGACTGCATGTTCTGGCAGCCACAACGCACCTTGCAGTTGGGAGTGGGGTTTGTCTCAAAATGGGAGTGCCCGAACAAAAATAGGCAGTTTCCCCGTGTTCCTTAAAAAAGGCACCTCAAAATACACACACACACACACACCCACCCACCCACCCACGCACGCACGCACGCACCCACGCAGACAGACAGACAGACACAGACACAAACCCAGAAACGGACAAATTCGGCCTTGTCTTTTCTGAAGGACCCGCAAAATGCGCTTTTCTACCCGCCACACCTTAAAAACTGTGGCATTTCTTACCTTTGATTTGCTTTCCCTTTGACCACCTCAAAAACTGCCCAGCAACGGATCGACCCCCAGGCCGCCCGAGATCGACCGAGCGCCCGGGCTGGCTTCCTCCGCCGCGGCCTGGGCCGCCGCCACGATGCTGCTGGAGCCCTGCTCTAAGACCTTCGGGCGCGACCCAGACCCAGAAAACCGCAAAGCCCTCGGAACCGAGATTTCAGGGTGCCCCAGAAACCCAGAGTTCTCGTCCCAATCTGTTCTTCTGGCCCGAAAAACGGCTCACCACACAAGTGGTGAATTTCAGTGAATGGTTGGCATGGGCAATGGTTGGTTTCTCTGGCCGGTATTTGGTGTTGGCCAGTCCGTGTTGGGATCCAATGCTTTTCGAGCCAAAGGTTTGAGGGCCCCTCGAAGAGCGCCCAACGGCCCGGTGGTTTGGGGTCTGGTGTTCGGCCTAGCTTGGCCAATTTTGACAACTTGCTCCATCGAGAAGCCGCCTGGCTCTGATTTTAAATGCGTTAAATGGGAGATCCGCCTCAGAAGCGGTTGGTGGACATGAGTCGCCACCTAAATGATGCTCACCAAAGGGCCCCCCAGTTAAATTCATGACCATGCGAAAACACCTATCACAATCCAAAACGCTTTGATGGCTTTCACTTCCAGCGAATTCGCGCCTTGGCTTTGCCCACCCTCTCCGAGTTCTCCCGCTTCACCTTCTCTGACCTCCGCACGAAGCACGCGTAGATTGCAGGGCTACCCAACCATCGCCAAAGCACGGTAACCTTGGGAACTTGTTCGTCTTTGTTGTTCCCTTAAGCTCAGTGGCCGGGCCCCGTTGGTTCATTTCAAGCTTAAGCCAAACTCACAAAACGCAACACGGTCCATGGTGCTACCGGGCAAGCAGAAGGGCGCGAGGACGCAAAACAACAACAGTGGAGGAGACACTTCACTGGGCTTGCCTTGCCAAACCCAGCACAAAAACCAAAAAACACGCGTCCTTGTCCGAACTTCTATGCTGCGTTCTTATGACAGTATTCTCAGTTGCCCCTTAGAGGCCCAAAAATATCAAGCTAACCTTTTGGGACCTTTACGAAAAGTGGACCACAATTGTGAAACCAGAAGGTTAGCTCCAGTCAACTCGCTTTGGGTCAGTGAGATCCCCAGAATCTCAGAAATCGTTGGACGCCTTTTGTCGCAGAGCCCTGGCACCGGTTCCAACCAAACTCCCGGAACTTCTGGCTGGCTTCTGGTTGTCTTTCTGCCAAGGAGCCTGGGCATCATGAGGAAGGTGTTCCGAGGCGGCCTGGGATGGTCCGGGAGAAAAGATGGCTGAAAGGACACACACACAAAAATCGGGGGGCGGGGGGGTGGGTGGGGTGGGTGGGTTGGGTGGGTTGGGTGGGGGGGGGGGGGAAGGGGGGGGGAAGGGGGGGGTGGGGGGGGGTGAATAAATAGTGACATGGATTGCTTGGGAAGAGGGCAAAACAAAGGTGATACTAGCTTGAAGGGCACAATGCACATGGCACACTTCGGCGGGCATTCACATGCAGACCTCCAAGGGCATGAGTACAACTTGTGCTGATACAGCGTCGAGCTGGCAAAGCAAGGCAGCGTCAATCTGGCCCTGATTAAGCAGCTGGTGTCCAAACAGCTGCCTGGATGATAATGTCCTGGACTTCGATTCATTGAAACTCGGGCCTGGATTCTCCTGAGTTTGTTGATGGAAACTGTCTCTGTGGCAGAGACAAAGATGCCAGCGTGCAATATGCAACTGCCAGCTGTGGGAACCTCTCCTGCGTTCCTTCGTGATAGCTGCCTGCTGGTGGAATTACAATGGTTTCTTATGTAGCAATAGGCTGCTGGCTCATGCAATCGCAATATATCAAAGCGTACCTGGATGCTAAAGAGCCCGCGCTTGCAGCGTGTGACATGAGGGGCGTCCTCCGTTGATGCCTCAAAAGGGAAAGGGACTGGCAGTGACTACCGCAAAATATCAGATTCCATGAATTGCCTAGTCAGGCCGGCGAATTCTACAACTGACTCCTGACCATCTATAAAACAACGTTGAGGAAGTCATTTCAATCCCAGCGTAAACCGCACAAACCTGCGTACATTTTGCGGAGCCCCATACACAGGAACACCAAAAAAAGACCGGAGGAAGCCTCAGCCTGTGAATGGGCCGGCAAATTTTGCTATCCGGCTTCTGCCTGCCCAAACCGATTGCAAACAACAAAGACTGCTTTTCCTTCTCATTATAACATGCAAGAAGAACAAAAAAGACGGGCACGAGTAGACTAAGACGTGTCGGAGATTGAGCCTCACGCGCGGCCACCCTAAAAGGCACCCTAGCCAGCACCCAGCAAATCACTGACCAGCACCCGCAAGCCTTTGCAACAGCACTTGTTTCAGCACCTGACCCACACGAGCACGCTAGCTGCAATTGAAAACCCAGTGGCGGGTGAAGAGAAATTCGCGAGAGGTTCTGAAAACGCAATCGCTTAGGAAACGCTTTCACGGACGTCTTTAAAGATGTTAAAGTGTGCTTTCTCTTTCGCTAGCATCGGGACGCACAGAATGGGAATGCGTGAAAGCAACCGGGCTGGTGTCTCTGCGCAACAGCTTGCACGAAGCTTTGTGGATTTGTTTGTTTTTTGGGGCTTGGAAGCGTCTCTGCCGCTTTGTGCTTCCGGTGCCTCTTTAAAAACCTTTCGCAAAAGGTCGTGCATTGTGTTTCTCTGAAATGGGAGTGATAACTCCCACTCTGGATGCGGGGGCCAGCAGAGGTTCACCAGTCCCAGGAAGGGTTCAGCCCCAGGGCAACGGAATTGGAAATTGGGGACTGGTTTTTGGATGTGTCGAATTTCAGGAGTTGAAGGGTGCTGGCGTTCAAACCAAACCTACAGATGGACAAAAAACTGCAATCAGGATTCAGAGGGCTTCTTCCATCCCAGTTGCTGTGCAAAACCGGGCAAGCCTCCTCCCAACCCCATCTCCACATCTTACAACTTCTTCCAAAAGATAACTTCTCCAAGATCCCCAGGCACAGGACCTTCCGGTGAGCTCCACCCCACCCCACCCCACCCCACCCCAGCCCACCCGTCGGCAGGCCCCATGGGCGCCAGGCCCTTGGAAGGGGATCTTCCAGCCCTTCAGCGGCGGCAGCATGGCCTTCTCCGGACCTCGGACTCGCTCCGTCGGCCGGCGGCCGGATTTCGGGCGGGCGGGGGACGGGGACCCGGCGGCGAGGGAAGGCGAGGAAAACGGAGTGTCCCGTTGACGGATCCGGGCCCCCGCGAAAAAGGTGGAAGGGAACAAAAATGAAGTCAAGCCCCAAATGGCAAGCAACTCTGGCTTTAAAGCAAGGTCAGCTTTGTCTGGCAAAGCTCAGCGAGAGCGCAAGAAAACAAAGGATCCTACACGGGCGGGCTGGCCCTCAGCCTGGCTGGTAGATTTGTTGGAACTATGAATGCAAGTTCTGTAGGGCATATTCTCGTTTTTGCCCTGCCATCATCATGGTCCTAAAGGGGCGGAGCTATGCCATGTGGCCGGCTGAAACACGGCATTCTCAGATTCCAGTGCCCACACCTTTGGGGACACAACCTGGAAAGTACTGTACGAAGCCATGTGTTGTGCGATATGTTGCAGCCGCAGTAACACATAAGTCACACAAAACCTCTTGTTTCATTAAAGCAGTTGCCACCGGTCGAGAGTTGTGTCAAGGATCAGGCAAAGCTAACCTCGCGATGCAGCTGACAGGATCTAAACCATGATTCCTCCAACTTCCACATTTTGAGCCTTCCCACAAGGACACATACTCAAGGTTGGCAAGCAACAGGTGAAATAATCCTCTGTTTTAGGGGGCTGGAACAGGGTTGTGGGAAATGGCCACTTCTGCGATACGACACAGATGATTTCCCAAAGACTAACCCCCCATATAAAGGGGGAGATTCTCTTGTATCAGAAGCTCACTGGCTGAGTGGATGGCCCAGAAAAAGTTCAAACTTTATACTTACAACTAAAATGGTCTTCCCAAAAAGTTTTTAAAGTTCATGAACTCAGGAAGTGAGGAAGTGGGGATAAACCCCTTAATCCCACAACCCTGGGCTGGAACACTTTTACCTCAGCCCCGCAGTTGATGGGAGGTGTTTTTTTTCTTAACTTCGCCGCAGGCCCGAAGCCCCGAGAGTGCATATGGCTGAACCTCCAAGAAGCTCCAACCAGCTGCAATTGAGGTGCCGGCAGTGAGACCACACCTGGCAACGGTGGTCCAAGTTGCCTCCAGCTAAAAGAGCCTTGTGGGATGGTGTCAAAATTGGAAACTCCTTACAAGTACTGAACACAATTTCATGCCAGTTTTCTTCTGGAGCTGGGCGAGCCATACATACTCCTTGCTATAGCCCAAAAAAGTGCGTATGGGGCCAAACATGTTGAAGCCATGCTGCTTGCGCAGGGGACATCACATCCGGATACATCGGACGAATCAACATCCTCTTCCCACCCTTAGCCTTTTTCAGCCGGTTGGCAGGACTCGAAAGAAAACATCCCTATTCATGGACAATGCTTGGCCTGTGTTTTGCATTTGTCTTTCCCGGAGTCCACATTCTTGATCGCCTCTTTCCACCATGCTGTGCTTCATGGGCACGTCTTTGCTTGGGGTTTAAAAGGGTGCTAAAGGGAAAATTATCTTGGCACTTGGCGACCAATTCCCGATGGCTTTGAAGCTGCGCTCGCGCCCAAATCCAACCGGGATGGCCCTGCCTCGTTGCCGCCCACCGCCTGGACAGCCGCGGTCACTTTCTTCGAGGGTACCCGTTTCAAGTTTCTTTTCAGGGAAGCCGAAAGGAGAATCTTTTTTTTGCCTACAACTAGTAACCTGTCGCTTCTCTTTCAACCATCCCACAGGGGATCTCCAAGACAATAGTTGGTTGGCCTCAGGCGGACTCAAACAAAAGGCCAAGAGGTGGTTTGAAACAGCTTGAAACCAGTGCCTAGGACATGCTCAGCTCAGGCATCTCTCTGGCTATTTGCGAAGCTCCTTGGGAGAATCGCGGTGGAACTCTCGTAAAAAGGAATCCTCATTAGAGGGTTGGGGAATCAGGTATGTTGGAGGGTTCTCAAGAAGTCAGGAAGCCTGGAGAGACGTGTTGCTCCGGAGCCTTGTTGCCCGCATGAGAATGCCTTGAGGGGCGATCCCATCCTTTCCTGATTTGATTCTCTAGTGGGTAGCTTTGCATCATTTTGCCCATTGGAGAGGTCAGTCACAATGCTTAGACAACTTCCTCAACTTACACCTGATCACGCAGCCATCAATTGATGCGCCACTTGAGCGAACCGAATGGAAAGCCAGAAAACACAAACACCGTGGGCGCGCTAGGGCCATCAGCCTCGAAAGCACAGTCCCAGCCTTCCCGAACCACCATCCCTCGAAGGAAGGTCCATCCCGGCCATCCCAGTAGTAGACGTAGACCTGGCGGGACATCCCCTCGGTGCAACATTCGCCCAGCATGAACCAAAAGAACACACAAAAAACATGGGGGGGGGGGGATGATGGACTAGTACTTGGAGTACTGAGCACATGTTGCAACCACCTTCTGCGGCTTGGTGCCCGCAAAGCCGCCCCGAAGCCAAGCCACGGGTAGAGGCTGCACCTAGACCCTTCGAAAGGCAGCGGGAGGTTTCTCGCCAGGGGCCTTTGAGGCTTCCCCGGTGGCTGCGTGTAGGAGGCAACTCTGGGTGTCAATGCGCTGTCTCTGGATATCAAAGTCAGAAACTGGGGGTGGGTTCCCTCTAACATACCAATTGGAGGGTTGATAGTGGTAAGATAATGGGGCCAGCAACCTGAAACCGTCTTCCAACAACAACATGCGATGGACATATGCTCAACACAATCAGAAGGTAATGGCTGCAAGCAACCCTCGCTCTCTTCTCTCTCTCTCTCTGTATACATCAACATGTATATATATATATATATATATTTATGCGGGGTTGTTTCAAGCCAAGAGCCCCAAAAAAGATTGGTTTCCTTTTGAATTTGGTGGCTCCTTTTAAAGCCCACCAAAAGGGTCCCCCAACAACAAACCGCTCCAGAGAGTACGACGGCAACCAGCGTCGGTCGATTTATTTTCACCGCACTGCCTCAAGTGGGTGGGATCGTACCTGTTGGTCGATCTGTTTCAATCTCTGGAGTCGGTGTGTGTGTCTCTCAGACACCACTGACTCGAAAGTAAAGTACAACAAAATAAAAGGTAAGCAAATGCAAGTGCATGCAAACCCAAAATGTTGTACAGCAGAGTTTCGAAGAGGGAGTGGACGTTCTCCCGTCCTCTCACTCGATGCTATAAATGCAGACCGACAGGTACTGAGGGCATGCAGTGAAAACTGGTGAGGGTGGGTGGGAAAGAAAAAAAATTGGCTAATTCGCCAAAATGGCGAACGGAGCATGAATCAAGCAGTGTCATCCTGCAGGCACTCAAGGTTCGAATCTGAGTGTGATTCAAATGCCTTCCGCTATCGGTTGTTACTTTTAACACAAGTGTTAACCGCAACAACAAACCGCTCCAGAGAGTACGACGGCAACCAGCGTCGGTCGATTTATTTTCACCGCACTGCCTCAAGTGGGTGGGATCGTACCTGTTGGTCGATCTGTTTCAATCTCTGGAGTCGGTGTGCGTGTCTCTCAGACACCACTGACTCGAAAGTAAAGTACAACAAAATAAAAGGTAAGCAAATGCAAGTGCATGCAAACCCAAAATGTTGTACAGCAGAGTTTCGAAGAGGGAGTGGACGTTCTCCCGTCGTAGGTCAACTCCCGTCGAAGGTGAAGCCGAAGGCGACGACCTAGACAAAAGGCACGTTGAAGGCATCCTTACATCGATCAAGTCTCCTTACTGTGGACAAGATTCTCACGGGACGTGGAAGTCAAGTCGGGTTCAGGAGGAATGATTCCTGTGGAACTGTTGGAGTTCCTTTATGTCGTCAAATCCGCCGGCATGGGCGAACTCAATATCGCCAATGATTTTGCACGTCCGTTTATGTAGAGCGTGCATGGGGGGTTCCAGAATCTGCCAGTGGTGCTTCGAGGCAAGGGACATGTCATGTCGACTGAAGGGGTCGGATATATTAGCATGTGTGGGCACACGGGCAATATGCAACTGCAATTGCTGTCGGTTGTGCCATGTCCAATGTGCACCGAGCAGGCAGTTTAGTGGTTGGTGTTTCCCAACTCCCCGTCTGATGGCGTGTTTGGCCGCTTCGTTGTCGCACAACTGGAGGTAGGTGTCAGTGATCCATGGTCGAAAGATCACAGGAGCGATCAACGCGGCCCATGCCTCGAGGAAATAAATGGCGTTGGTGCCAGTACTCACTTGTTGGAGTAAGTTAGGGGGTAGTGCGCCCGAGACCACGCGGGTCCTGTGTGCCTGTGGGCTGAACAGCACCGCTGCCCATCCGTTGTCGTGCGACCAATCGGGTGGCAGACAATCCCGATCCCCTGCGTCCTTGACACGCCAGACCGTCTCGCCCTGCCG